TTTTAGGTAATTACTTACCTTAGCTCCTAGTTCAAAATTTTAAGTTGATTTGATTTTAATTCTGTAGGTACTAATATCCCCTTATGTAATCGCTCCTGCTTCAAAATTTCAGCACCCAACATTGTTTTTGATATTTCTTAGTGCTGTTGAAGCAAAATTTCAGCACCCAACATTGTTTTTGATATTGCTTGGTGCTGTTGCTGAGCTTCAAATTAATTTATTCTTTATTTACAGTTAAATGATGGTCTGGAGATGTCTTTCACAGACAAGAGGAGATTTGCTACAGTTCGCTTGCTGGATAATGTATATGAGAATTTCCAAGCATACCACTTTCCACATTTCTTTGATCTTAAATGTACTCGTCAGTTATTGCTTATTTCTTGGTGCAGCCAGCTTCAGTTCCACCAATATCTGCGCTCGGTCCAGATGCTTTGTTGGAACCCATGACTGAAGGGGAGTTCATTCAATCCTTGAGCAAAAAGAAGATTGCTATTAAGCCTTTATTGCTCGATCAGGTCAGAAATTTGAAATACTTGCAAAATGGCATTAAGTTTCACAACTTTGGAGTTTAAAATCATGTTATTTATTGGTTGCTGAGGCTATTTGACTATTCCTCATCGTTGTCATTTGCTGTGGAGGAAAATATTGTGGTATATTATAGCCGGACCTTTTATCGAAATTGCTTACATACGATATCCGCAGGGTTTTCCTAAAGCTGCCTAAAAAAGACTATCGTATACATGTATGCAGTAGATTTGACAATGCTCCACACACTTTAACAGTATCCATCTTGGAACTTCAATCTGTTTTTTTTTTTTTTTTTGCATGAAATACTTTGTATATTACAGTAGTATACAGGAGAATGTACTCTACATATTAATCTCCAAAGTCCCTGACATGAAAGATAATACTTTGATTTTCTTTTCAAGTTTATACTTTTTTAGCTTCTTTCCCTGGCTGCGTGACACTGGGACTAACTGCATGGAATCTGTGTCCAACTCAATTATTCTTTGAACTAGGAGCAATTTAGTTTTTGGTGTCAAGTGATTGTGCCTTAATTCTAACATTTTTAACTGTCAATATACCTTCATTTCTTCACATTGATGCCGAGTCTTGTTTTACTTTGCAGAGTTTTATTTCTGGCATCGGGAATTGGGTTGCAGATGAAGTTCTATATCAAGTGAGTTTTCAATTTGACTTTTTATTATTAGAGGAATTTGTCTTCCGCATATTCAAATTTATTGTTCACTATTCTAACATTGATCTTTGGAAAGCCAAACTAGTTAATAACTTTTGTTGGATGAACAACAAGTCCTGATAAGCAAGAAAATGCCTTGAAATACTTTTTCCTATCGAGAAGAAGAGGAGGGTGGGGGTAAGGCCTTAATGCCTTACATATTCGGCCTAAGAAAACAAGTTTCTAAGTTCAGATAAGAGCTACCAGCTACCAAGTTAAATTGATAACAGTATTTAAATTGTAAAACACCTTCCATATATCATATATGTACTCTTTAGGCTAAATAATACTCTGTGCATGTATTGTTCAGTCTAATTGAGGGTATCACTAATTATGAAGTTATACCTCAAGTTACCTTAGTAAAGTTCCTCTAAAAGAATTGCACGAAGTATAGAACAAAATGTATTTTGCATTTTGTTGAAATTGAAAAGACTGAAATTTTAATCAGCTGTTCATGAATATCTATGGTTTTGTTTTCTTCTCCACAGGCAAGAATTCATCCTTCACAAAATGCCTCTTCCCTATCAAAAGAGGAGGGTATCAGACTGCTGAAGAGCATAAAGGAGGTGGGTTGTCTTTGAATACACAGATCATTTCTTAAAAGTTTAAACTGTAATTTAGTTTAACATGTTCAATTGAAAGGAAGTTTAAACAGATTAAAAGGATGCTTAGACCCAACACTTGTAGGTTATCCAGCATGCAGTTGAAGTTGATGCTGATTCCGAACACTTTCCTTCTGATTGGTTATTTCATTTTCGTTGGGGTAAAAAACCTGGAAAAGTTGATGGTAAGATTTCTAATAAATTACCATTTCCCGTTTAGGTACTTGAGAAGGCTGTTGAGGTTGGGGCTGATAGTAGCCAATATCCAAGTGATTGGATTTTTCATTCACGGGAAAAGAAGCCTGGAAAGGCTTTTGTCGATGGTTTGACTTCTCACTCAGAGAATCTTATTTTTCCTTTTAAAAGTGTGTACATACCTTGTGTTGGGTGAATTGTATTCTTTTTTTAACACTTCTGAATTGCCGGTTCATAATGAGCACTCTCAGTTGCTATTGACGGTAGATGAAATGAATCAACTTAGTTGAAAATGATTGCATGTTGGCATTTTGGATGATGGTAAGCAATTAAGATTTGCTTCATTGTGACATTATGAATTATTTGTGGCTCAAATCCTCTGTTTCATTGAACGCCCACCGTCAAATAGTAGAACACTACACAAGTTTATGCGCTTGCTGGAAAATGGATTTTATGTGGATGTCAAGCTGCGTCAGTAGAGCTAATAAGAGACTGGCAGGTTAACCTGTATGAGGATGCTCAAACTCGGCCATAAAAGTGATATTTCATTGACTTCTTTGTCTTTTGTACTTGGCATCGAATTTTTTTTGGTTGACTCAACATTTCCTGGAACTGTTAAGCACTGCTTAATCTTAATCTCCTTGAGTTGTGTCCACCCCTTGTGAAATACTCTAGTCGCATAACAAAATCTGCAAAATGTTGGACTTGGGAAGCATACTAACCAAATATTCTGACTCTAACACAATCATCCTCTATTGTCCATATCACCTACTGTAATTTTATGCATTGGATGTAGCTGTTGCTTATTAGCTTTAGACTACAACTTTTAGCAAAAATTTGGTGCATGGATTCTAATAATACTATCCTCCTGGCATCATGCAGGAAAGAAAATTGACTTCATCACTGTACGCGGAAGGGTATGTCTTATTTTTAAAAAGATATGTCTTTTGCACAATTGTAATGCAGCAATGAATTAACTTTTTGCATTCTATCGTCAGACTTCAGCTTATGTTCCGGAACTTCAAAAGCTAACTGGAGTGCAAGCCACAGAAGCTTCTGCTAAACCACGTAAGCGAGGCTCTAAAAAGAACAAGGACGACGATGATGATGATGATGCAAATGATGTTAATGGGGATGGTAGGGAAGAGGAAATGGAGAATATGAAATCTAAGCAAATGAAGAATAGCAAAAGTGGAAAGCAGCCACCTAGAAGGAAGAAATCCGCTAAAAATGATGATGATGATGATGGTGGTGGTGATGATGATGGTGATGATGATGATGATGATGATGAGAGTGATGATAAGACAAAAGGAACTCATGATGACAGGGCTGCTGCAAAGAGGAAACCACAAGGAATTAATGAAAGTCAAGATGTTAACAAGAACAAGAAATCCAGGGGTGGGGGAAAGAAGGCTACAGCTGAGTCGAAGTCTAGGGAAAGCATTGATTCTGATGTTAGTGATGATGATGTCCATGATGATAATGATAAGAAACCAACAAAAGCTGGAGCCAAAAAGCCCCAGAAGTAGACCAAAAGGAAAGCAAAATAGATAAGCTTTTGGACGGCACAAGAGGTAAATGGATTTTGTACATTATTCCTGCCAAGCTTCAACGAGCACCAATTTTGATAACAGTGCTTCGCGTAATATTTAGTTAGTAGTGTGGTAATTTTATGTCTAGTTAGCACTCCGTAGCAGTTAGTCGGTGCACGTGCTGTTAGTATGTTTGATGCTCTCCTGTATATGTTCAAACATTATGCAGATTTAGATATTGCTGGCGTTCCAGGCTATTGGAGGGCCTATAATTTGTCGCTGTAGTGCAGTGGGACACCGTGTTCTGAATTGCCCTTTTGTCTAACTGTATTTGTTCTAGACAGTAGTAAAAATCAATTTCAAACCTTACTTTCCTCACTTCTTTTAGAAGTGGATACCAGGAATTGATGGGTACCGAAGCCTGTCAATCTAGCATGATATGCACGTTTAGTTTTTGTATTTGAGTGATGGAAGCCAGTTGTTTGGTGCAAATGTGCAATGAGATTAGGGAAGATGGTGACTGCATGTTGCTTGCAAACTTCACTTGAGAAAAAATTAATTAGTGGCGTCATAATTTTGCCCTTACCATTAATTTCTGATCTATACAATTTTCATGAAAAACTTGGTTTTTTTTTTATGGAATTAGAATTTACGATATAAAATGAATTAATTAAAGTTTGAAGTATAAAATGAAGGTTTTAAAATATTTTAAGTCACAATTCTAGAACATAATGGCAAAAGTAATCTATGATTATATCATGAATCAATCAATTTGCCAAGATAATTCTGATTACTGTTTGAGGGTGCAAAAATGCTTGATGATCTCGAGCAAATATTGATCACCGTTTGAGGGCTCAAAAGTGCCTATAGACCTTTATACTTGGAGTAACAACATACATGTTTATACATTTATTTCGTTCTTTATATATTTTCTTATAAATTATTGTAAGTCTGTCTCACCTAAAATTTATTAAGGAAGACACTAATGCACCTTATATGAGTTATACCTTCAAAGATTGCCACTTTACTCGTTTTTAATTAAAACCTCCAGCATTAATTATTGCTACTCTCCATTTGCTTAAACTATATTTTTCCATTATAAAAGAAATTAACTACAGCTTACAAAGTTACAATTACTAAAGCCATTTAACAAAGTTTTTTGGCCCCTTGGTAAATTTAAATCAGGAAAGTGCAATTCATCAATGATCTTTCAAACCAAAAAAAACGGCCAAACTTAAAGCAGCCACCAATAGTGCCACCTCCCGAACCAAAACATGTTTTGGGCCTAATTCTAAGAAGTAACCATTAAGCCTAAATTTTCATAGTGTTGCTCAAATAACTTAAAAATCGTCCATACTCTTATGTAATTTGAGGTGACTGAAATTTAAGGTAACTAAGCCAAAACATATGCACGAATATTGGTGATCTGAAATGTGCAAACCGTATTATGTTTCACAATAGCCGTTATGTAGGTAATGTAACAGGAACTAAGCTCTATTTAGGTAAACAGCTTAATAACAGTTCTTTTGGTTACACACTTGAACAGATGTTGTAACACATTATAATGATGATTTATATTTTATACATCTGACTCCTTTAATTCTACCGAAGGAATCAGTCGGAGCCTGTAGCACTGGGTGATGACATTGTTTAATTTCTTTTAATCGACACGAAAACAGCCCAGTTCAAATAATTGCGAAAGAAAAGTCCATATCGAAGCATGTATTTTGTCTGCCACATCGGTTCCTTTCTTACTGTTACACATGCCCGTGGCGCCATAGCTACTATCCATTGATCAGCCCATTCAAAGATTCTCCGGCTATATGTTTCTCTTCGTTGACATCATAAGAACATTCTCAAAGCATCAACAACTTTTTCTGGCCTGTACACATTACATCTATCAGCTTTAAACAAAGGCAATCTTCAAGCTAGGAACACTACTTCTAGCTATATCGCAAATTTGAACAGGGGAACACTTACCAGTCTTCCTGTGGCATATGACCAGCTCCTTCTATTAATTTAAGCTTCACGACTGAAGGATTACCCTTTTGAAATTCTTCTGCAATTGATTGGGGAAGATATTTGTCCGATATACCCCATGCTAACAGTATAGGTTTATCCCAGCTGGAAAACAATGTTTGAGTTTATGCGTACTAGCAATCTTATAACTGCACTTTCATGAGTCCAATATACTAGCTATTACAGTTGGCATAAAAGCTAGTTAATTTGAAACAGTACCTTCCAGATGCAAACCCTGTAGCTATCTGAGTTGCTACCTCTCTGAAGTTTGTTCTTCTTGCAGCTTCAAGCAAGGCTAGAGCAGAAAATCATAAGACTAACTTCAGCAAGCATAATGAATAACTTCATCATCACTCCTTATGCAACACCAGATAGCTGTAATTCTCAGATTCTTGTATGCAAGTAATCCCACAAATACAGATCGAATTAAGATTATCCATATGAAAGGTAAGGAAATATTATATACAGGCCAGTATCTCTCACACATTTAATTTTAAAAGGTACCAATTAAACAAGGTCCTTTTGTAACTTATTTTTCCCCATATTGACCATTAGGAGAGTGAATAATCAATGTTGGAGCTGCCAGCTTGATAATGGAGGATAAAGAACAAAAAGAATACAAATTTCAAGTTTCCATGAGACGTCTACTGAGTGAGAGTAAATAAGTGCTCTAGTTAGCTGGGCAACAAAAAGTATTTGTTCACCAAGAAGATTCCACTGCAGGTCCAGAAGATTAATGAAGTCAACTACACTCAAAACAGTTGGAGAATAACCCCACTAAATTTTTTGGGCAAACCCCATCTCCAGCATTATTAAAGTTATGACCAAAAAGAAATGAATTAGAAGCCGAACCAAATCCTGGACCACTGCTTGACAGATACGGTAGCCGGTATACATCAGCCTTTTCCAGCTTCAGAACATAACTGTAGCAACAATAAATGCAGTCAGAAAGGACTTTAGATAAGAACTTGGCACAAAAGACAGTAGATTTGTAATTGCAGCCTCTCAAATCTCCTGATTTGTAACACCTTATTTACCATTGCTCCTTTAAATTGAACACAATACATCTCAGTTTTAGCATCACATGTCTACAAATAAAGCATAAAAGTTCCGGCCAAATCAGCAACACTAAAATTGTCTTTAGTGTCACAAGGATGTTCCTTTTACCAACAAAATCAATTGCTTCTTTGTATGGGAGTATTCAATTAATTACTACTCAGAACTTGCACAAACAAAAATGATAAAAAGATAGTAAAACAGCTAGGATCCCTATATGGCCGGATTTTTGCCAGAAAAGATACTCCCTGATCAGTAACTTGAATATTCAATCATCTTGTTACCAGAATAAAAAAAAAAAGATGTATATGCAACTAATCAAGGATTATAAAGACAGTTACTGCAGAGATATCTATGAAGTGATGAACTGGATACATACGGGCTACCTGCTTCAATAAATCGTTCGGCAATAATAGCATTCTGGCTTGTGAATTCACCTAAAAGAGGAAATCTGCAAAATAAAACACATACAAGTTCCTCAGAAATCTGGGTTAAGGGGGGAAGAATAACAAAAGACATTTCTGATCATATTCCTCAAGTCAGGTGGCTCCTATATAGATCTACAGCATCAACTTTAAGAATAATTAAATAATCTTGCTTGGAGTCTTCTAGTTATCAGTTATCACAAATCTCTTGTTACATTTTTCTTTTCTTTTTTTAGGGAGGGGTCCTAATGACTATAAACAGAAATCTGATTGCATCATCATTTGCAGGTCAATCAATCAATCAATCAATCAATCAATCAAAGCCTTAATCCCATAAGTGGGGTCGGCTACATGAACCAAATTTGATTATCCCGTGTAATCATCAACAAAGTTCCTCCTCCTCCATCCCTTACGATCCAAACCTCATCCTCATGTACATTCATATACTTCATATCCTTCCAAACTCCTTCCAACCAAGTCATTTTCGGTCTCCCTCTCACTCGTTTAACCCCTCCATGGTCCCACTCTTCCACTCTTCGTACCGGTGCACCTTCGGGTCTCCGTCTTACATGCCCAAACCAATGCAGACAGTTTTCCCTTAGTTTGTCTACAATGCCTGCCACACCTGCCTTCTTGCAAATAACCTCATTTCTGATTCTATCTCTTAGAGTGTTCCCACACATCCACCTTAACATTCGCATCTCTGTAACCTCCATCTTTTTAATGTGCTCCTTCTTAGAAACCCAACATTCTGTACCATAGAACAACACTGGTCTTATGGCAGTCCTGTAAAATTTCCCCTTCAACTGTAAGGGAATGTTTCAGTCGCACAACACTCCCGTGGCCGCTCTCCACTTAAGCCACCCCGACTTAATCCTATGGGCCACGTCTTGATCAATGCCACCATTTTTCTGGATGATCGACCCAAGATATTTAAAACATTCGCTCATGGTCAAGTCCTTTCCATCCAAACTCACCACCTCATTGCTTGACCCCATCCGAGTACCAAAGCGACATACCAAATATTCAGTCTTACTCCGACTCATCTTAAACCCTCTAAATTCCAACCTTTGCCTCCATTGCTCCAACTTGGCATTAACTCCATCTTTAGTTTCATCCACCAAAACGATATCATCCGCAAACAACATACACCATGAGACTTTATCTTGAATTGGTCTAGTTACTTTATCTAGGACCGTTGCAAAAAGGAAAGGGCTTAATGCAGACCCTTGATGCAATCCAATTGTAATAGGAAAATCTTTTATCAACCCTCTACATGTCCTCACATTGGTTGACACATCCCGATACATATCCTTAACCAGGTCCACGTACCTTTGTGGGATACCTTTCTTCAACATTGCCCACCAAAGTACCTCTCTTAACACCTTGTCATATGCCTTCTCTAAATCAATAAAGACCATATGAAGATCCTTCTTCTTTACCCTATAAAACTCCATCATTTGTCTTATCAAATGGATTGCTTCCATAGTAGATCTCCCTGGCATAAAACCAAATAGGTTATCCGAAATGCTTGTGCATGCCCTCAACCTATGTTCAATCACTCTTTCGCACAACTTCATAGTGTGACTCATAAGCTTGATCCCTGGATAGTTTGAACAATCTTGAGCATCGCCTTTGCTTTTATAGACTGGTACCAAAGTGCTCTTTCTCTAATTTTGCGGGATCCTTGTAGCTCTCCATATCTTGTTAAAGAGGTTTGTTAACCAATCAATACCAATCTTACCCAAACACCTCCACACCTCTATCGGTATACCATTAGGGTCCACCGCCTTCTTAGGCTTCATCTTCTTCGACACACTGCACTTCTTAGACTCGGGTGTAGTGATAAGTATGCAAGGATTGCTAGGTCGTCGCCTGGAAACGACGCGTTACCTTGCCCGTGTGTGGTGTCAAATGTGCAAGGGCGTGACATTGGGGTGTTCCCTACTAAGTGCAGTGATAAGTATGCAAGGGTTGCTAAGTCGTCGCCCGAAAGCGACGCGCCACATTGCCCAAGTGTGGTGTCAAATGGTCAAGGACTTGTAGGTGGGGGCATGAGGGAGCGTGGTAGGTGGGGGCATGTGAGGAAGGACTCTAGTTTGCGGATTGGTTCTTGAAATGTGAGGTCTCTTACGGGGAAATCAGCAGGATTGGTAGAAGTGATGAAGAGAAGACGGATAAACATCATATGCCTCCAAGAGACAAGGTGGACAGGAGAAGGAGCTCGAGGCTTGGTTTTGGGGTATAAAGTGTGGTACGTTGGACAAGAAACGAGCCACAGGAGTCTAGCCAAGGATTCTGTCCTAGGACTTCATAACTTATGCAAGTTAAAATTTCAAGTAATAATCTCAACTAATACATTATTTAAGGTCCTCACACTGTCTTACAATATTCAAGTTAGAATGTCCAAAAAAGCTAGGTCCGTGAAGAAATTTTTCTTTTTTGTAGCGATAGACTTGGAACTTGCTAAACACAATTAGATGACGAATAATACTGCACAACAATTTTTATTTCCACCCTATGAAAAGTGTACCCATTTGCCACAGAAAGTGCCAGGCCCTAATGAATATTAGGCCTTTTTTTGTCAACCTCTACTTCTTATGATGTCAGAGCTTCACACTTCCAACTCAGATTAGTTGGCAAGAAGATTTTCAAACTTAACGGAGGGCGCTTGTCCAGATAATATCATTTCAACACAATTGAGTAGGTGAGCTTATAACCAAAATATTACAAAACGATATATTTGATGATTGATGGCTCAAGCAAAACCTTTGATAGAGTATATAAACCGATCATGGGCTTCAACCATCGGCTTAAGTTTTTAGCTGAGTTGATCCTTTAACAAATTAACATGGTATCAGAGCCAACGTGACACAAATGTCATGGGGTCAAATCTCATCTACCCTCACTTTCAAGTGGAATATTAAATGTTGGGTATGAGAAGGGCTCATGCTACATCCACACTTCAAGCCCAATGGGCTCTCATGTGAGGGGGCGTGATAGAGTAAATAAACCGATCTTGGGCTTTAACCATCAGCTTAAGTTTTTGGTTGAGTTGGTCTTTTAACAACCTTCTTCACCTAAAAGGTTTTCCTTAATGTCTTATATCCCTTTCTCAGAAGTTACTGGCCCCAACTACAAAACTACCACATTGACCTTGATTACAATAGGATGGCAAATGTCATTTCCTTAGCTAGTGTAATTAATAGCTTGAAGACTACCTTGAAATCTTGAAGTATGTTCACCAGCCAAAGTGTTGATTTGTTTACTGAAAAGTGGATCTGCCATATGACTAAGCAATGTAAGTATCAATCCAATACGTCAAGGTCAGGCCCTCGGAGGTTTTGGACGGATCAATGACCACCAAATCGAAAGGGTTTGGACATTAAGCATCACTGGACATGTTAATTATATATGACATCTAACCCAAAATTGTTTCTAAGAAGCCTATTTTAAAGGTTAAAGAAAATCAGAAACTATGGAAAATTCTAATATTGATTGCCATGACTATATACAACATCAATTCTTACTACAGATTCATGAACAGTAGACCACTTCAAATATCAGTTGTGTTAGGAAATAAACTAAACTTACCAAATACCAACGAGATTTGTTTTGGGAAAAAATATATTATATATTTTATTTATTTCTTTCTTTTATGCTTTCCTGGTTAGATGAGGATTGTAATTAGGAAACTAGATAGATTTTAGGTATGTATAATCAATCTAGGATTATTTAGGCTTGGGGAGCAAGTAAAATATCCTATTTGATGTAGGTTTCTAGGTTAGGCTATATAAGAGGGTTTAGGCTTACTAGAAAATTAAGATGGTTTATCAATGAAAGACGATGGTTTATTCAGGAGGAAAATCATCAAGAGGGTGAAACAATGATGGTTTGTTGAGGAGGAAAATCATCAACAGGGTTATTGTCTTATTTTGTAGGAACTTAATAAAACAATATTTTGTTTGAGGGGAGGAAATCTAAATTTCCTCATAAACATTGTCTCTTTTATTATCGTATTTTGCTATTCATTTTATTTTGTATTAGAGGGTGATTTCCTAAATCGTTCCATGCACGCATCCGTTATAACAAGTTGAATATCTCTGAAAATTTGAGTTAAAGCTTTCCAAGTCAATACCCAAAATCGCTTGAGGCCCACATTGGCCAATTAACCATACTCTATATGAAATCAAACCCAAAAAGTTCCTTTGGAATGTAGAAGCCATCCCATAAGCTAAGATTACAAGAAGACTTTAATGTAAACTGATGGCAAAAGGCAATAATGGACATGGGAAGGTTTTCTGTTAGTTTCCTAATTTCCAGAACCATTAATGATGACAATTAATTAATTGACAACAATACTGCTAAAATCTAAAATCAATTCAACCATCAGACCCTACATGCTTGAAGTTTAAGCCAAGAAAGTGTATAGCAGGTAGGTGATCATGTGTACAGTACTTGTTTATAATCGATTACAAAAAAAATGAAGAACATGTAGTTATAGATCAAACCTTAGTTGTTGAAACAATCCAGGGACTGGAGATGAAGCTGTTAGTGGACTGTTCAGTATCACGAGTTTAGATATCCTGCCGGGATTTTTCAATGCCCAGGTCAATCCATAGGAACCTACTAAAAAGCCCTACAAGGATAGATGATTAATGAAAGTACATAAAATTAAGGTGACGGTTCTGAATAAGCAGTATCCTATAATCAGACTTATTAAGCTATAAATTAAAAACAAAATGAAGAAAATGTTGGTGGCCTGATGAATGAAATAAGAGTTAGTTATATGGTGCAAGGATGGGTCATACACAGTTGAATCAGGGACTTTATCTACGGTGCATGTCGTTCACACCTGTACTACCAGAAGAAAAGGAGATCTCACTCCCAGCACTTCAAGTAATTTATCAAACTCATCATGGAACTCCTTTTCTGTTACAACAGGATTTATGCATCAGACTTTAAATTAATGAAAAGAATATTCAGTTTTAATTCTAAAAGAGAGCAACATGATAAAAAAGACAAACCTGTATAGTCAAAACCGAATTTTGGGTATGGCTTATCACTGAAGCCAAAGCCTATCCAATCAGGTGCCAAGCAGTGGAATCCAGAATCAGACATCTATCAAGAACAACAGTAGTGTTCAGAAAACAGAAGTACAGAACAGAGCTTTTCAAGAGAGAACCACTGTATTTTCCTAGCTGCTCCACCCACTTATAAGATTCCAATTGAAATTTTCTGGCCAATAGAGGACAGAAATATTCAAGGAAATCAAAACACAAGAAATTTGAGAACATAAACAGAGAGGTTAACAAAATGGAACATTTTAAGGAAGGTATAGAACACTGTTGGTCAAGGTAAAAATGACATTCCAGATACATCTATTAACTAAAGCATGAGAATGATCCTTGAGACAATTTGAGAAGGTTCAAAATTTCTATTGACTACATATGAAAATGAAGCAATGAGGTGACAAATAATTGAGAATTTGGGACAAAATGGCATTCTGACCTAGCATACCAGAAGACTTCAAATGTAATCAGTCCCACTATTACTATATCCATGGGGATGATTTGTATGGAGCATATACTATTACAATCATACAATGTATAGAACACAAATTTTCTTGGAGGATTGATCCACAATACTTTATGGAAACGATTGAGATAAGTTGCATAAAGAAAATCAAATACTTGTTATGGTAATGGACAAGTCAAAACAACCTAGGAATGGAAAGGACCCAACTAAACTATTAGTGAAGAATATCTTGAAGTGTCATCATAGGTCTATAGGAATTATAATATCCAAAGGTATTACAATTTCTGAGAGTTGAGAGGTCCATTGTATATTTGACCAAGACCACTGATGTTACTTCAAATCTTCATTTTGGACCAAAAGCATAAATCATTTTCATTAATTAGCCAAGTTTGACACCTGGTCACCTACCCAAGCCTGAAGCTGACGCAAATACCCGAGTCTAACACAGAGCACCAAAGCTGTAAATAAATAAAAACTGAACCATACCATATCATATATTAATACTTTCATAAGCATTAATATATTTTAATTTCAGATCATGGTATCACATATTTTAATCTTGACCAGCTTATACTAATAAAATGGGGGAAACCCCAAAACTATACAAAGTACAATGGAAGCGTACGGGCCAAGGTATCCTCTAAAATTCACAAGAGAGCATGCCAATTACGTTGAACATTCAAAAGTAAAATGTAGCATAATCATTGAAAGTGTCAGCATAGTGAAGACACACACATATGTTGTCAACACAAATTTATGCCCCTTTAATAAATTATATCAGGAAGCCAACATGATAGATGACTCAATTAATTTCAAATGCTAGGTACAAACCTGTGACATAACGACTCGATAGCTATAAGATTGTGTTGGAGCCCCATGAAGGAAGATGATGGTTCCACGTCTACTATCAGGCGAACCTACAGAAAGTGATACATCAGGCAAACAATACTCCCTAGCATCCCAATTAGTCCTGAGCTTTGGCAAAAGACAGCTTAAAGTCACACTTTCCAATTATTGTTTATATGCCAAAACAAAAATAATCTACCAATCAACCATTTATTGCTTGTTTCTTGATGCTCAACAATCACGCAAAAAACAATTTGAAAATTCAATTGTTAAAAATGCAATTTGCTCTTTAACAAATTACCCAATCATTCATGAGCAACATATCTATTACAAGCATCAAAATGCATTATACACGCCTTTGAAAAAGATTAGAAAGAAAAAGGGCAACCCAATTCACAACCTCAACAACTCGAAACGAAGAATGTGAGGATTACTATTACCTGTTTCTCTAACAAACCAAATTAAGTCCCCGGATTTAATATAACGCCCATAGTCCTTTCCCTTGTCCTCTATTCTCTGCAAACAAACCACAATTTTGAAAACCCATATGAAATACTTTAAAACCCAATATTTCACTCCTATACAAAAATTACCATCTTAACACTATTTGACATTTAACAATTTTCAAATATCAAAGTATTTACATCAAACTAAGACAATGATGTGATCGAAACGTAGGAAAATGATATACGCAACCCTAACGCTAGCTATTAGAAACTAAAAAAACCAATATTTCACTCCTGCACAAAAATTACCATCTTAAAACTAATTGACATATAACAATTTTCAAATATTAAAGTATTTACATCACACTAACACAATGATGTGACCAAAATGTAGGAAAATGATGTACGCAACCCTAACGCTAGCTATTAGAAGCTAAAAGTCAATACATTAAACATTAATAACACCGATCAACGCTATTGTTACCCATCTGCAGCCCTAAGGGCTGCATATATCAAAACCCGAATAATAAAAATCGAAATCGAAATAATCAGAGAGAGAAAATTACTGACATTAAGCATTTGGCCGACATTGCCGTCCTCGGCAGGACTCTCAGGGAGTTGAATTGCGCTTTTGCTAGAGGGATTATCGGTAACGAACCCAAACGGATTAAACGACGGCGTTTTATCATCATCGTCGCTACTTTTGGCGAAGATTTTAGCGGTGGTAGTTCCTCGTGCTGAGCTCCAATGGCGGATGTTTCTAGAAGCCGAAGTGGAAAAGAATTGAAGGTTGAGTGGAGGAGAGAGAAGAGACCAAGCAGTGGTCGCCATTAAAGCGAAGCTTTACTGGAGGAGAGAGAAAGAAAAAGAGAAAGATGGCGGGAGATTAATCAACTGTTTTTTCAACAATTAACGACCACTAGTTAGTGGACTAGTGGAGTAGAGTATGAATGAGAATCTTGAGATTTTGGATATTGGGGCCATGTAAGATGAAGATACTTGTGTGTGTGGATTGTGGTTGTTATTTCTCATGTTTTGTGGCCTTTGATTTGTTACCATTAAAGTACTTGACTAGAATATAGACATATGTGTTAGATTGGGGAAGTATATCGGGTTGTATTTGGAGTTTGGCTTAACCCAACATCGTGTATGGACTATATATCTATGCACAGGAGTAAAATCAGTACTAAAGATGGTACTGGGTCGGGCCGGACCTGCCCAGCACGAAAAAAGAATGACACGGCACGGGCACGATGTAGGCCCGGCACAACACATTACTGTGCTTGTGGGCCGTGGGCCGCCTTTATTTGGGAGAAGCACGATAAGGTATGGCACATTTGGACCCAACACGACACGGAATACTAAAATCAATGTAATTTTGGTTAGGCACACAAGCCCGACACGGCCCGGAACAATGGCACGTGGGCTTGGGTTGTGCACGGGCTTTTGAAAACTTCAGCCCGGCATGGCACGAAACGTGTGGGTCGAGCCATGAGTCAGGCCTAACTAAACTCAAAGGACGTGGGCCCGGTACAAGGCACGGCGCAGAGCCATCTTTAACCAGTATGGAAAAAAGTTAAACAAATACTTTGTATTCTGTAATATAAATTTAGATAAATGTGTGAAATAACCACAATACTATTTTTATGTTGTTGTACAAGAACTTGAAATCTATGCGTGTAATTTCTTAAAAAACTTCACCAATATGTCTATATGAGATAGTTAAAGTTGAACCTATCCGTTAAATTCACAATTTTACTAAAAAATTATAGTCAGTAAACACCACTCACGAGTCACGACTCGTAGTAACAAATTTGTAATCCATGCACCATACCGGCAAGAATTGGGCGGTCCCAGGGTCTCTAATCTGTAATAGAGACTGTTTATGTTCCTAACTTTCTCAAATTCATTTGTGCTTCCCATACTCTCTCAGTCATCCAATCTCAGGCCACTCAGTCGTCACTAACACCGTCTTTTTCCTTCGAAAGCGGCCACACCAACACCAACACCAGCAGCAGCAAAGCTTCTCCCCTTCTTCCTCGCCCTCCGCAGGTTTCTCTCTTCTTCAGTACCTTGAATTTTATATCTATGCTCATGTTGTTGGCTCAAAGTTCATGTACTTTTCAATTTTCCAATTCAATGTCTCATCGTTATAATTTTCATGTTAATTACTTCATTGTGGAAAGAATTCGCCAGTATTCAAGTGTTTTTTGAAATCTTGGAAAAATGACCTACCTAACTTGCTTTCACTTTGAACTTAATTGATTAAATATGAAGAATGTTTGAAGTTTAAGAGTCCACTGGTATTTAGGGTTTGATTCACTGAGTTTGGAATTTGATTGATTTTGGTTTTTTCTTTAGGAATTTTGATTGATTGAATTTTGAACTTGGATGTTTGATTCTGCCGGGGCTCTCGAGGGTTTTATGATATATTGAAATTGAACACTAATTGAGGAAATCCCAGTTTTAGAACAAAGTTGGGAGCCAAAATTCCAGCGTACTTGCTGCTAAAGGCCACAAAAGGATAACCTTTTCCGTTTGCTCTTCATGCTCCACCCCCTTCGTTGTCAATTTGCTAACTGGTGATGGTTCCGGGTGGGTTACGGTCACAAAATGATGGTAGTTGAGCATGTATGACTGTAGTAAAAATTAAAAAGGGGGAATTTTGGTGCTTGCTGGCTGCTTATTGTTTTCGGTCTTTGATTTCTTGTATATTTACTAAAATTGGGCTGCTTATTGAAGAAATATCAACCCCCAGTGATTTCATCGGCTATTTTCAGTGTAATTTGTAATATGGACGATGATAGCCCGCAGTTGTCGTTGACAGTGCTGCAGTGGTTGCAATGGTGGGGGTGGAGGAGGGGAATTGCCGCTGGTGCTTTTGATTTTGGTTGGGTGCTAAATTTTGCCGGTAAGTTGTTCACTTTATATTATTATTCATTTGAGATTTGGAAATGTGGTATTAGACCTGCAAATATCCCTCCTGTGTTTTTCATGAATAGGAAGAGAGCCATTGCTTTCAAAATGTATATATAGTGTTGTGGTAAACTGGTCATGCATGCTCTAAATATTTTATTTGCCGATGGGAGATCCTCCACATTGAAGGAGTTATGCTATAGGAAATATTGTACTCCATACTAAAAAGCTTTCACATACACATTGTAGTAATTGACATAAAAAGTCCTGCACTCACGTAAACAATGGCTGATAAACTGAACCCCCATAGAACAGTACTTTTTTGCCCTGAATTTTTGACATGCTAAATGAAGGTATTCAACAGATACAAACTGACAAACAGAGAGTGAACGTAACTTCTACATTTTCTCCTCCTGTTATCCCTTTCCTCACCGAAATCAACCTGGCTTGGGGTTTGAACCAGCAGGCAACAACTAGATTATTCTTCATCTTCCTCTTTTTTCAGGGTAAGTAGTTTTTTTTTCCCCAGGATTTAAAATGTCAAGCAATATTTCATTAGGTCAATGTATTAGGAATTCATGGTGTTGTTTTCATTCCAAAAATATGAGCCTTTTCTTTGTTATGTTATGTACCATTCTCCATCTAATTTTCTGATATGCCTGTGAAGTTATGATACAACAATTTTTGTGTTTGGAAATTTTTTCCCCCCCATATGTTGAATTGTTGTATGGCAACAACTGCCAACAAGTCAAATTTCAAGGAATAAATTTTATAGAGGTAACCCATTTCTTGTGAATGGATATGGATGAATCTAATGATTTGAGTCCTTTTTTAACTGACAGTTGGTGTGCAATGTATTTTGATCTGCTTTGCAGTCAAACATTCAATTCACAGTGCAAATGAACAAAACAAACAAAAAAATTTCATATTGATGAAGACTTATTGGGGGTCAGGAAAATGGTTTGGAGTAATTGATTAGTTGGCAGAATGTATGGTACTTCTAGTATGTCCCTTAACTCCCTTTTAAAAGTGCATTTTGCATATTTGGTACTCACTATTTCAAACAGTGATACTTCCTCTGTTTCTAATAGTTGGCTTGTTTTGATTTTGGCACTACTTGCATAAGTTGATGACGCTCAATGTAAATTTTCCAAATATCAACTTCTTATAATTTTTGTCTGTTGGTAAATGAAGATACTGATGTTTGAAATCAAGAAGCGTGTTAACTAAACTGAAACGGAGGAAGTACAGTAATATAAGCTAGTCGATTTGGTTCTAAAGCTTCAGATTAGTATAGATCCTCCTGATGTAAACAGCTAGTTTGGATTTATTATATTTTGCAACAAGTGATGTGAAGAACAAGTTGCAACACTGTATGGGTGGCTAGTGAATTATAGTTTAGTTACATTTGTTGAAAAATACTCTTTGCAAGTTAGTTTTTATTATGTAATAAACTGCTTCCAAAATCCAAAGTATGGACCCTCATTAAGTATTAATGTTAATAATACTGAATATCATGCAATCTCATCTCCTCAAATAGCTTGCAGTTCATGAGTTTTGGCATTGGACTTTGTGCTATGTGTGTGCTATGTGTCTATGTGATTGGTTTAATTTATCTTATTTGCACCACTAATCAAATTTTTGGATCAGCTACTGCATGAAAGCTATCCAGTATTATATTGTGGGATTGTAGGATTGGTATGATTTGCTGTTGGCACGATATTTTTGTTGGCACATGCCCAATTCATCACCTGGCCAAATGTACTTGGCTGAGGATTTCACAAATTGTCTGTACTGGTTCCTCTGAAGTTTAGGGCCCAGCAAAGTTGTATTTTAGGTTTTTTATTTAGTTAAAAGTCTGAGTTTCATTTTTTTTTCCATCTTTCCTTTTGTTTTCAGTAAATTATTCATGTCATTTCATGTTTGTTTTTACTCTTTATCAGACACAAACTTCCTTTTGATGGGCTGATCCTAGGTTTTCTTGCTGCTGTTGTGAAAAAATCAATTTACCCATTTCTTTAATCTACAGAAAGATCATATATGCATCTGTTCCATTTCTCACTAACTTTGCCTTGATGAATTAGGTTGTTTTTTTTACCCTCCCATATGGATGAAAATTCACCAAATAGTGAGGATCTTATTGATGAAATGGAAGACCAAGAAGATGATGGTGATGAGATATTTGAAAATGAAGGACTTGACCATGAGAGTGATGGCCACCATGGGTTTGGAATTGAGGGTGATGATCATGAAAATGATGGTGAACAATTTTTTATTGACGCCAGTATACATGAGGAGAGTGAGCAAGGGATTGAGCTTGAAGGTGAGGATCACTGCAGTGATGGTCAGCAGTTCCTTGAGGTGAGGGATCATAATGCTGAAAATGACACCTTTCAAGTGCTTAATCTTCATTGTAACGGTGAGGAGAATAACCTAGGAAACAATACAGTGGGTGTAGATGATAGCTCATCTAAAGAAAAATATTACCATCCACCTGTTGTGGGCATGGAGTTTGAGTCCTATGATGACGCTTATAACTACTACAATTGCTATGCTAAGGAATTGGGCTTTGCTATTAGAGTGAAATCGTCATGGACAAAACGGAACAGCAAGGAAAAGCGTGGTGCAGTACTCTGCTGCAATTGCGAGGGTTTCAAAACATTCAAAGAAGCAACCTGCCGGAGGAAGGAAACAAGGACAGGTTGTCTAGCAATGATAAGGTTGAGGTTGGTGGAATCAAATAGATGGAGAATTGATGAAGTTAAACTTGAACACAACCATCTATTTGATCCTGAGAGGGTGCAGAACTCCAAGTCACACAAGAAAATTGAAGTAGGTTTAAAAAGAGACTTAGAGCCAACTGTTGATGTAGAAGTGCGAACCATTAAGTTGTACCGAACATCTGCCATTGATGCAGCCAGTTCCTGGAATTTAACCACCATGCAGACTGAGAATGGTAACCACATTCGGTCCTGCTGCTTAAAGCTTAAAGCTGGAGATTCACTAGCAATACACAATTATTTTTGTCAGAAACAACTGACAAGTCCAAATTTCTTTTACATCATGGATTTGAATGACGAAGGTCAATTGAGGAATGTGTTTTGGATAGACTCCCAGGCAAGGGCTGCATACATCTACTTTGGAGATGTTGTGGCTGTTGACACAACATGTTTGTCAAACAAATATGAAATACCACTTGTTGCTTTCATTGGAATAAATCACCATTGGCAGTCCATCTTGCTTGGTTGTGCTTTCATTGCAGAAGAAACTGTGGAAACCTATGTATGGCTATTTAGAACATGGCTTACATGTATGTTAGGGCGCTCTCCTCAAACTATTGTCACAGACCGATCCAGAGCTATCCAAAGTGCAATTTCTGAAGTGTTTCCTCGGGCCCATCATCGGTTTTGCTTGCCACTTGTGATGCAAAGTATTTTTCACAACTTGGGCCAGATGGAAGAATTTGAAGCATTTCAGTCATTCTTAAATGGAACAGTCTATAATTCTCTGAAAATTGATGAATTTGAGACTTCATGGGATAACATGATACAGCGATTTGGAATTAAGGAGCATGAGTGGCTTCAGATCTGGTATGATGATCGAGAAAAATGGGTTCCCGTTTACCAGAAAGACATATTTCTTGCAGGACTTTTTGCTGTTCAAGCAGGTGAGTCTAGTCCTTTTTTTGCTGGTCATATCCATGAAAGAACCTCAGTAAAAGAATTCTTTGATTTGTATGATGTTATCATTGAAAAGAAACGACTAAAAGAAGCACTCGATGATCTTGAGTCTGGTGGATCCAACCTCTTGTTAAGAACAAGATGCTATTATGAGCTACAACTATCCAAATTCTATACTAAGCAGATATTTGAAAAATTCCAAGTTGAAGTCGAGATGATGTCTTGTTGTGTGACCATCAATCAAGTTCATACTTCTGGGCCTGTCACTACGTATGTGGTTAAAGAATGTGAGAATGGAGGCATTAAAGAGTTGAGCAATTTTGAGGTGATGTATGATAAAGCAGCATTTGAAGTTCGTTGTGTGTGTGGTGGCTTTTATCTTAATGGTTATCTTTGCCGGCATGCCTTAAGTGTTCTTAACCTCAATGGTGTGGAGGAAATACCATTCTCTTATATTCTCCAACGATGGAGGAAGGACTGCAAGCAATTGTATGTGCCAGATCTTGTTTCGAATGCCATTGATATTAGCAATCCAACTCAATGGTATGATCATTTGCACAAACGAGCAATGCAGGTAGTTGAAGCAGGTATGGTGTCACAAGATCATTACATGGTGGCTTGGCAAGCCTTTCTAGAGTCCTTGAACAAAGTTCGCCTTACAGAAGAAAAGAATGTATGATGTGTAATTTTCATGATGTAAAATTTCGTTGATTAAATTATTGAGCAATGTTTGACTGCATTCTACTTCTTCACTTGTCTCATTTCATATTTTCTTGTCAGCTTAAACATCAATGTATTGGCTTACAATATACTTGTATATGCAATACATCAATTATCAGTTGTATGTTTTTTGACATCAGTATTTCCATTATTTCCTACAGTAATGCCCTCCCATGAGCAGCTAGTCCTTGTCTTGGCACCTTGTTTAGTGTGCATGTTTCCACTTTCCAGGGCTTGGGCCTCGTGTTCAATTCGAGCAAGACTGCGAGGGTGTTCATGATTGCCATAGGGCCCTTGAAAATTTGATAGTACTGAATTTGACTGAGTCTGAGAAAATTCTAACAGAGCTAATATCATGTTGGATACACCACCTAATTGCAACAAGGCAGGCTAAAGCTTCAGCAATCTAGGCTGGATTACTCTGACTTAGATGCCTTTTCCCCTGCTAAAGAAAAGTGGAAGGAAAATGAATAAGTTCAGTTAATTTTTTATAAAAAAATGCAACAAGACTTTTGGATAAGCTCCAAAAAATTTAAGAACAATTCAAAAGAATGATGAGTTGTTAATATGATTAGGTGGGTTGTTTTTCCGTATGACTTTTACCCAATAAAATTAAGATTTTTATATGTGCTCATGTTTAAGCTGACAAAATTAAGATTTAAAGGTGAAATAAAAAAGTGTGATAAAATAGTGTTTTGAATTTGAGACACTGTTTTAACAAAACTTATAATAAGGGTGACTTTTCTAGGTTGGAATTAGTATTTTTTTTTTTTTTTTTTTAACTAGTGAAAGTACTCCACTATGGAGCATGACAAATAGTTTTATCAAACCCTTAATGGTTAGCTAATTACCTAAGAAAAGATTAGTGCATTAACTAATCGTGGGAAAATTTGTCCATAGTACATATGAAACACATCTCTACGACAATGTTTTCTAAAATTTGTTGTACACTATATTGTTTTAAATATGTCGATTAATAATCAACAATTAAATGTTGTTGAATTAAAACTTGTTCTCTTCACTTGAAATAAGATGATCTAATTAGATTTTAATAAGTTCTAGTCCGTCTTTTTAGTATGAAATATGAGAATAACAAAATTATATTACATTAAAATGTAAAACAAAATAGGTACTCTGTAATAATATATGAATTAATATAAAAAAAAAAAAAAAAAAATTCCCCGTTTTAATCTTTGGACACCCTAAATCCGAAGAAATAACACAAGAACTCATAAAAATCCCAAATGAATTTATGGCCCCCACTTTCAACTAGTGTTGACGATCACACAGCTTCTCAGTTAATTCGTAAGTTCATCTAATTCTTCAATTACAATGCTTCGATTTCTTGTCTTTAAATTTTATGGAAATCAATTTGTTATATTCTGGAATTTTGAATGTTTTTATTTAATATTTTTATAGTGCGATGTACTGATATTGTTCATCTAGTTGCATACTGATTGCCAATACTATTATCTGACGAATTTGAAGAATTCAATTGTTAGTTTTGATTTTGCCCTAAAATTTCACAATTTTGAATGATGATAATCTGTATATTGGGTGCTTATTGTTTTAAATTTTATTGATGAATTATTAATAACTTTAGCATTTGTATGATTCCCGCATTGTTGAAATGCAACCATTTTTGTGCAATTTATGCAGAGTGTTCAAAGGTTTTGCTGGGATTTTAGCTTAGGTAGTTAGCATTTTAGTAAAGACCTCTTTGTTTATCTATATATGATGCTATTTCAAATGCCACAGTTGGTTGAACTCCCTTTATAGAAGTATGTATGCCCAGCTCTTGGAACCCGGAGATCGAATGTGTGATTTGTTGTTCTTAAATGTGGGATTGGAAGTGAGTTTTCGTGTGGTCGAGCTGATTTTCAGATTTTAGCTGTAAAAGAATCAAGTTGGCCTATATTGGGATTCTATTGAGTGTGGTTTTGAATGAAGCTTGACCGATCCAAATGTTAGCAACTAGCCATAAGGGTTTGAATCCCATTGTACTTGAATTGTTTATTATAGCTTTGTTTGGGTAGCTATTGCCTAAGGTGACCCGTGACCAGCAACCAAGGTATAAATCTTTGGGTTTTCTTTTATTTCCCTTTTTTTTGGGGGTGTGGGGTGTGCGGACTAAAGAGTGAACTAATGGGGTTTGATTAAGTCGAAGTTTTTTTTGAGGAGGGAGCGTTTATTGTTCCAGCTAAACCCATAAATAAATTTGGTCTTTAGGATAAATCAAACTTTATACAAGGGATTCTGATAGAGATATATTGCTTTCATAGAAAGTTTTTTCTAGGTAAGAATGCCACTGTGGATGTCAAGCTTCTTGAAGGTAATTAGGAAAAGCTTTGAGCTTGACATTTATTTTCCTTTTAAGCATTTGGGCATTTAGTTGTTGCTGTCACATTTACTCAAATCAGCTTGAACTATTTATGCTAACATTGCATACAAGTGCAAGTAAATATAAATATCAAGCCAGTAGGGAACTCTCGAGCTGTATCAACATTTTTGACATGTTTGATCTCATTCCAATATCACAAGAAGTAAAAAGGAATACTGGGCTTTTAAGTTCCTTTCTCTATGACCAAACAGATTTTGTGCTTACTGCTTCAGATTATATGTTTATGCTGTTCATATTCAATTTTCACTCGTGTTGGTTTTCTAATGTTCTTATCATGTGTGATCTCCAGGGCCTTGATCTCTTACCCTTTTGACTCCCTTTCTTACACAAGATGGAAGAAGATTCAGGTACTATTGGTTTAGTACAAGATGTTGATGTCAGTATAACTCTGGAGAGTGAGGGTAACAGGGTTGAACTAGATTTCCAAAACATAGTAGCTGATGGAAGGAAAGAATTTGTTGCTCCTGCTGTTGGAATGGAATTTGAGTCATATGATGATGCATACAACTATTATAACTGTTATGCCAAGGAAGTGGGCTTTCGTGTCAGAGTGAAAAATTCCTGGTTTAAACGGAATAGTAAGGAGAAATATGGTGCTGTACTTTGTTGCAGTAGCCAAGGTTTCAAAAGAATCAAAGACGTGAACCGTTTGAGGAAGGAGACCCGTACTGGGTGTCCAGCAATGATCAGAATGAGACTAGTGGACTCAAGAAGATGGAGGATTCTCGAAGTCACACTTGAACACAACCATTTATTGGGACCAAGAATGTACAAGACTATAAAGACAGTTGAGGCTGATTCGAAGAGGAAGTCTCTCTTTAATTCTAATGCAGAGGGACAAACAATTAAGCTATACAAGGCAGTTGTCATAGATAGTAGTGATACTGGATATCTGAAGACCAGTGCGAAAGAAACCCAGAGTTTCTCTGATCATCATAATCAGCTGCACCTCAAGAAAGGCGATGCACAGGCCATTTATAATTACCTCTGTCGTATGCAATTGACTAATCCAAACTTCTTTTACCTGATGGATTTCAATGATGAAGGGTGTATCAAACATGTCTTCTGGATAGATGCTAGGTCTAGGGCTGCATGTGGTTACTTTGGTGATGTCATATTCTTGGATAACTGTTACTTAGCAAACAAATATGAAATTCCCTTGGTGGTGTTTGTTGGAGTAAATCATCATGGCCAAACTGTGTTACTGGGTTGTGGTCTGCTTGCTGGAGAGACAACAGAGTCATACACCTGGTTACTAAAAACATGGCTCAAATGTATGTCTGGTCACTCCCCGCAAACCATAATTACAGATAGATCTCAGACTTTGCAGAGTGCAATTAGTGAGGTGTTCCCTAGATCGCTTCATCGTTATGGCATTTCACTAATAATGAGAAAAGTACCTGAAAAATTGGGAGGATTGTGTAACTATGATGCAATAAGGAAAGCATTTGCTAAAGCAGTCTATGAAACATTGAAGGTGGGTGAATTTGAGGCTGCTTGGGGACTTATGGTTCAGCAACATGGAATTGCTAATCATGAGTGGCTGCGATCTTTGTATGAAGATCGTGTCCGATGGGCACCAGTCTACTTGAAAGATACCTTCTTTGCTGGTATGTCAACAGCACGGCCTGCTGATATTCTGCATCCATTTTTTGAGAAGTATGTACATAAACAAACACCCCTTAAAGAATTTTTTGACAAGTATGAGTTAGCGTTACATAAGAAGCACAAGGAAGAAACTCTTTCTGACATTGAGTCGAGAAGCTCAAGCTCTCTGTTGAAAACAAGATGCTCTTTCGAACAGCAACTTTCTAAGGTCTATACAAAAGAAATATTTCAAAAATTCCAGCTTGAGGTGGAGGAGATGTATTCCTGTTTTAGCACAACACAGCTCCATGTTGACGGACCGTACATAATATTCTTGGTGAAAGAACGTCTTCTTGGTGAGGGCAACAGGAGAGAGATTCGAGATTATGAAGTTTATTACAATAGAGGATCAGCAGAAGTTCGATGTATCTGCAGCTGCTTTAACTTTAATGGTTACCTCTGTCGACATGCATTATGTGTCCTTAATTTTAATGGGGTAGAGGAGATACCAGCAAAATATATATTGTCAAGATGGAAAAAGGAGTATAAACGCTTGTATGTCATAGATCATGCTAACAACACTATAGATATCAATGATCGGATTCAACGGTTTAATCAGTTATATAGAAGTGCATTACGAGTTGTAGAGGAAGGGGTTATCTCTTTAGATCATTACAGTAGTGCTTCACAAGCCTTTGAGGAGTCATTGAATAGAGTCCATAATGTAGAGGAGAAACAAGAGTAGCATATGTTGTAGCTAAAGAATAATTTGTTGATAATTGTTGGTGCTGCTTGGAAATTTGTGTGCAGAAATATATTCTTTCTTCCTCCAGTGGATCTTTGTTCCAAGCAAATGCGTCTTTTCTACATTTCAGCAGGAAGCAAGCTAAAGATCTGCAGGAAATGTGTCAGGGTATGACTTTGCCTGACATCATGCTTATTTACATGGTAATATACTAGTATTTATGTCTATTTAGGAAGATTAGAAATGATTGATGTCCTTTCAACTTTAACACAGAATAAATTGAAATGATTTTGGGGTAATTCTCATGTGATTATTAATTTTTTTGACAGCAGGAGTAGATCTTGGTCTTCTACTTATCAATTCATCATCCTCATCTTCAATCCTGTGAGTATCTGAGTTTTTCATGTTAATGCAAGATAAGCTTTAATGCTTAATCTTTGAGGTGAAGGTTTTTGAACTTTTTCGATGGTTTGATCTTCCAACTAGCTTTTTTTTTTTTACTACTTCCATATCTTAAATTTAAGGACTGAAATCAGATGTATCATGTATGTCTATAATGACCTATCTTCATACTCCTATATAGTATTTAGATTTGAGAAAGTAGTTGCAAGTGTTCAGAACATGGTAATTTGACTACAATAACCATAATACCATATCATGATGGTTTATCCTATCTGAAACTCCTGTATGTTGTGATACATCAAAGCATACTGTTGCATTATGCTTACAATCTAGACAAATTCTTGCAGTTCTGGTAATTATAATAATATCTCGGTCAAATCTGTTTGTTTCAATAGCTTTTCTACTTTTTTTAAACTGGCAAACTTGCATTAACTGCTGTTTACTGCTCTGCTAGATGGATATGGTATCCCCCCTTAACAGTACTGAATGTACTGGAGATGATATATCGATGAAGCTGAAGAGTTTAAGGTTTAAGGAGAATATAGAGTGACATAAGTTATTGGACAAAATGATAATGCTGAGGAATGAAATCTAAAGCAAGGTTGCAAGCATTAATAGCCTAATTAGCCAATATACTTATAGTTGATGATCGTTTTCTGGAAAACAGGAATCTGCAAATTGTGCAAGAAGGTAAAAGAACTCATGATTGTTACAAGGTTGCATTTGCAATCCACTTGGGGTATTTTTTTTTTTAAAAAAAATGTATTAGATATGAATGAAAAATTCTACTCTGAAGGTTGTAAATTCTACAGTAACATTGCACAGAATATTTGATACTTTACCATAATGTTCTTCAATACATATTCGTCTGCTAAGTTGCTGATTGGGACGTTTGCAAAGTTACAAATAATACCATAAATATTGTAATGGTACCATAACTGTCAACAATTTTTTTCTTTTTTTGGAAAAAATTGAGGCTACCAGACCCGATTATGAACCTTCTCCGAAAGGTCTCAACTATTAATTAATTTAAAGGGCGGAGTGGTGAGACTAGCTGGTAAAAAGAAAAAGGTCTAAAATGAAAAGGGAAATTAAATTACTTGTCATATACAGAGTATTAAATATTTAATTTTATTCTAGGTATTTTTTCTCTAAACTTTGAAGTGTTTAGCCAATCCTTATCTAATTTCATAGAAGACAAAGCAAACATAGATCCATTTTGAGATAGTGTTTACAGAGTATAATACAATTGCACAACAAGAAATTAATTGAGAAAAGGAAATTTTATTAGAAACCACTTTTTAAGAATAATTTTTTGTGACTAGCAACCATGTAAAAAAATGTTGTAATTACCTACTTTTTAGTAAAGTTATGTTCCGTGAAAAATCACCTTATAAGAAATGTTGTAATTAATCATCTTTAAAAATAAATGTTATAAGACTTATAACTAACACCTGCAACCTGAAAACGGATATTGACTTGAAATTAAGGCATTGACCAGCCACGTAATCACGTGACCTTAAATGTACCCCCCTAAATTTTCCTTTCTCTTTCCCCTTTCTAATTTCCCTCAACTTTTCCCATTTCCTCTTCTCTATTCTCTGCCCTCTCTTTGCATTAATCTTCTGTAGAAATCCCTTTTGCTTATTTGTGCCTTATGGGCCAACTTGTTAGGCATATTTGTCACAAACTAAAATGCAGTAAAAAAAAAAAGAAAAATAACAATATGGTTCAACGGGACACTAGATTGCCTGAAATTCTTATTCTCTGGATTTCTAAAAAATTGAGCTTTACATCATAAAACTAAACAAATTATCCATAAAAGTACTAATGCTAATTAAACGAAAGAATTATGCAAGATACACAGAATTACTTGCTCTAAAAAGTATTATATTACTCCTACTATCTTCAAAATTGGGGTAAAATTAGTGATCAGCGGCGAAGCCCCACACCTAGTTGCAACCAAAAGCTCTTAAAACACCTCTGAAGTTGCAAACAGCCCTAAATATAGAACGCCATTGAATGACTTATTTGGTTTCCATCTTTATACACATTGTGGATACATCTAATATGGATAAACTCTGCTGTGTTCCAAACTGCAACCAGTTGTTTGCACAAACAAGGGCCTCTAATGTAACTGGCTTTAGAGAACTTCTGTGACTATCCAACTTCTTGCTTAGAGTATCAAAAACAGAATCCCCAGATATTGTAGCAAAGGGTATTGACAATATATCAGCAGCCATCTTGGAGAGAGTTGGATATTTAATTCGGTGCAACTTCCACCATTCAAGAACGTCAAACTCTTGAGACCCTCTTGGCAATAGTGGCTCGTCTAGATATTGATCTAGTTCTGATTTTGTCTGATGATTGCTTGAAATCTCTGATATATACACATCAAAATCTGATAGCCCGTCAGGCAGAGGCAATGAATCTTCATCTTGATGGGCCTCTGCTTTAATGAATCCTTCATACCTTTGGTCTACAAAAATTGATGGCAAGGGTAAGGTCTGTGCAACATATTCAAAGTACAACTCATGTAAACCATCATCGACAGCCCTAAACCACAATTCACCTTCTTCCCCGAAAACCTTGGCAAAGCTGAACTCCACAAGCTTCAACTTATATCTAGGGTCCATAGCTACAGCCATAGCTAAGACCACACAACAATCCCTCCAATATCTGTCAAACTTTTCATACAAAGGTCTGACAAAGTTGCTGACATAGTTATCCTCACTCAATGCCCCATGAGCCAGCTCCATCTGAATTTTACAAACTTCATGGAAAAATGCACTGGCAGTAGGATAGGATTTGGTTGTAAGTATGTCAGCGGCATCAAAGAAAAGTTTCATATAGACACAAAGAACTTCTATACACTTCCAATCATCCATTGAAGGAGCTAGCTCGTAATTAGGATCAGAAGCATCTAGACAAGAAAAAACTTCCTTCAACTCACATGCTATTGAGAGCATATGGTAAGTTGAATTCCACATCCGTTGATTATCAATGACTAAACTCTCTGTGTAGGGAATTTGAAGTTGTTGTCTGAGCTTATTGAACATATCTTCACGAGATTCTGAAACTTTTACATACCTCACACTGTCGCGAACCTTGGCAACAGCTTCTCTCGTTGCCCCTATAGCTGCTAGTGCCATACGACTCATGACACGGGCATAGCAATTCGCAAGTAAATATTGACCATTTAACATGTGAGAATTCTTTATAGAAAGCAGGCCCCTAAGGTTACCGACAACAGCTTCATTAGCAAAAGACTGATCAACAGCAAGTGCAAACAACTTGCTTCCCAAACCCCACTCAGACAGACATGAAACAACAGCATGATTAAAAGCAACCTGTGAATCTGGAAATGGCACACGGACAAATTTAAGGACCCGAGAGTTTAATCTCCAATCAGCATCAATGAAGTGCCCTGTCAGAATAGCATAACCCAAAGTTTGGTCTGATGTCCAAAGATCCATAGTCAAGCTGACACGCCCAGGGATTTCGGCAAGAGTATCAGCAAGTGACTTCTTCTCTCTCGTATAAATAGCCACAATCTCACTGTAAACAGAGTCAAAACTTACCATAGAAAAGTGAGGTTGAAGAATCTTAGCAAAGTCAACGAAACCAGGATGTTCTACCATGTTGGTTGGGTAATCATGAAGTATGATCATTCTAGCTATCTCATTAATGCAGCGTTCTTGGTCTAATGCAATGGTTACTGAACCAGGGGATGCTCTGCAGCGCTTTCTCGGAGGAGCAGTGATAGTGCCATTTTGGGAACGAGGTGTGTAGGTAGTAAGTTGATTCTTTTCCTGTTTAGAACGGTTTGCAGGACAGATACCTAAGGATATGTGTCGCTTGAGGTGGCTGGTGCCTGCTTGCTTTTTTCCAGTAATGTAAGCAAATGACTTGTTGCACTGTTTACAACAAGCCCTGGTACAACCAGGGCTAACATTTTCAGTAGTGAAGTATTCCCAAACTATAGACTTCTTTCTCCTGCGTTTATTTGGCTGCACTTCAGGAGTCACTACATCATTATCATTTGTTGCAGCGAGGCCATCACCATTCATAATGCCATTACCATTGACATTCAAGGATCCATTTTCAATCATACCATTCATCTGCAGTCTGCACACATTCAAGCAACTTGTCCCATCAAACACTCGATTGAATCAACTTTAAAGTCCCACAGAAATAAGAGGTGCCATAGGATTTTCAGTCTATATAAGGCCAAAAGTACGAAATTCTACAGACAAATATGTGGCGAACCGTATAAATCAATATTAATAATAAAAATAAATAAAAAAAAAAGACACCAAGTAATCACTGCTGTCAAAGTGTCAATAAAAAGAAGCCATTTATCAAATAATCCAGGATAATATGAAAAACTAAACAAAAATTGCAGGAAAATTTCAATCATGCTTCATTATCAATAAAGCATTACATCTCAAGACTATTTACCGTTCACAATCTAGACACGACGCGATAATAAAGATTATAAGTCCAACCCGTACAAAGTTGAAGTGGAACAAAATAAACCTTAAAACAAACACGTCCCATATAATACAATGAAACAACATACACTTAACTGAATTACACTAAAATATAAAAATTGAGGGCATTAATATAAATTGTACTTCGTAATAGATATTAACTTTGTCATCGAAACAATGAAACCCTATATAAAACACAACCCAATTCAACTAGCATTATCACTAAACTTTCCAACTTTCAGACCTTAACTTATCAACAAATTCAACAATGAAAATAAGGCAAAAACCACGCCGATAGAAAATTCAGTACCCAGTTGAAAATTAACAACTAAAATATACAATAAACCAACAAAATTATCATAACACTAACACAAAAACCCAGAAAAAGCAATCCCCATTTAAAAAAAATCCAAAATTTATAAAACCCCAGAAAGATTATCATACACTTAATAACAAAAACGAAAATAATAATAAGATTGTACAAGAATCAAACATGAAAAAAAAAAAAAAAAAAAAAAAAAAAAGAAAAAAAAAAGAAATTTAGGGGAAACTTACAGTGAAATCGAAGGGTTGTTCCGAGTTATATTAGGGTTTAAGGAGAAGTTGCAGAGGAGGGAAGAAGGGGTTTGAGAGGAAGGAGAAGTTAGTGGGCTTGAGCTTTGATAAACCCTAAATTGGACCTAGAGGCAAATTGGGGGTCCATTTTTATTCAGAGTATTTATAGAAATTTATAATATGCTTGAATTTTAGCCCACCTTATTGGCTATATCCTCACCGTTGATATTTTTGAGATCTCATTTTGCTACTCAGAGTGAGACCCACTTTCTATTAATATCTTTGTTTTAAAATAAGAATATTTTTTCTTTTGAAGGATAAATAAGAATAATTAAATATCTTGTAAAACTAAAAAAAAAAAAAAAAGTAGTCTAGAGTTTTTATTTAATGTAATTATGTGAAAGTGATAATAAAGTCATAAATTCTTTATTAAGGCGGACTTTCATTAATTAAGTTACTTTAAAACGGGTACTAAAAGTATATAAAGTTACCTATATACACTATGAAAGTTACCATTTTATTAACATAAATTTTACTCTTAAAAAATAATTATAATGTATTAGATAATTAGTTTAATCATATTAATTTTTATAACATGTATTCATTAGAAGATCACATTAAATTTATTACAAGTAAATTAAAAGTTACCCTTAAAATGGTTAAAGTTACCACAAAAATTGTAATAAGACAATAAGACGACCTTAGTATAAGTTAGGAGGAAGGACACCCTATCTTAATTTTAACATGCTCTCCGAATTTCAATTACACAAATTCTCCAAAAAATCGAGTGTACGTTAAAGTATTGTAAGACGGGTTAAAGTTATCTTCAAAGTACTTAAAGTTACCCTTTATACTAAAAAAAAGTTATTATTTTTCTAACAATAAATTTTATCTTACAAAAAAATAATAATTTATTAGGCCCTGTTCAGTTCAACTTAAAAAAAAAATAATATTCGGTGAAAATAATTTCAGTCCAGTAAAATTAATTTCAGTTCAGCAAAAATAAGTTTTGTTCAATAAAATTAATTTCACTTCAGTAAAATTAATTTTAGTTCAGCAAAAATCGGTAAGGTCCTGTTCGCTTCACCTTAAAAAAATAATAATAAGTAAAAATAATTTCATTTCAGTAAAAATCAGTTTTAATCAGTAAAAATAATTTAAGTTCAGTAAAAATAAATTCAGTAAAAATAAGTTCAGTAAAAATAATTTCAGTTTAGTAAAAATAATTTCAGTTCAGCAAAAATAATTTCAGTTTAGAAAAATTATTTTCAGTTCAGCAAAGATAATTTCAGTTCAGTAAAAATAATTTCAGCAAAAATAATTTCAGCAAAATTAATTTAAGTTCATGTACATTGATGCTTTTTTTACTAGGATTTTTTTATGTAAATTATTTTTTCCATATATTGCAAAATATAGTCGTACAAGATTTTTTTTTTTTTTTTTTTATACTTCACATATTTTATTTATGCATCACTTTTGTCTACACTTTTATCACATATTATATAGTTATAAAATGTAATATCTATTTTTTTGTCAAGTATAAAATATTATGTCTTGATAATATTCTAGTCAGTTATACTTGGTAAATACAAGTGCTATATTTTATAAAAGGGTAACAAAATTCATCGTAATAGGATACCTAATCATTTACAATAAATTCAATAAGATATTGAAATATGATATTCATATATGATTATATATACATGATCTACACAATACTACCAATATGTTGTTATATTTTTTTTGCTTAAATATCACATGCCTTGATATGATCAATCAAACTACTAATATTTGCTATAATTATTTGTAAATTCCACGCAGTTAACCAATGTATACGTAGTAAAATATTGACTGACAATTCAAACCAAAAAATTTAATTAACCAGATTTTTTCATGCATGTCATAAATTGTGCTAAAGTCCTTGGGTTTGAGATCGTTAATTCCAACGAACTCGCTGCTTTTGAAACTATTTAAATGATCAACTATTTGTAACAAGGTCTATATATTTTAATAGTCTCATATATATATGCATGCATGTCAGAGTTAATATATTTAATTTGACAATCATATACATTATCGTTATAGGCCAACCATTTTTATATACGATATTATGTAAATTTATATGGTTGGCATAATATATTATCGTGATATATGCCAACTATATGAATTACAAAAATAGATTATTTTACCTAATATATATATATATATATAAAAAATCAGTAGAAATAATATTTAAATCAGTTAAAATAAGTTCAGTTCAGTAAAAATAATTTCAGTTCAGTAAAAATAAGTTCAATTCAGTAAAAATAATTTCAATTCAGTAAAAATAAGTTCAGTTCAGTAAAAATAAGTTCATTTTAGTAAAATTAAGTTTAGTCTAGTAAATATAAGTTCAGTTCAGTAAAAATAATTTTAGTTTAACCAAGTTCAGTAAAATTCAGTTTTAATCAGGAAAATTCAGTTTTAATAAGTAAAAATAATTTCAGATCGGTAAAAATAATTTCAGTTTAGCAAAATTAAGGTGAAGTGAACGGAGCCTAACTCTAAAGAAGAAATATAATAGAGAATCAGTAAAAATAATTTCAGTTCAGCAAAATTAATTTTAGTTCAGTAAAAATAATTTCAGTTTAGTAAAAATAATTTAAGTTCAGCAAAATTAATTTAAGTTCGGTAAAATTAATTTCAATTTAGCAAAAATAAGATGAAGTGAACGGGGCCTTAGATTAATCATATTAGCCTTTATACTATGTAATCATGAATTTATAATAAATTACACATTAAAATAAAATTCAAACCAACGACAAATTAAAAGTTACCCTTTAAGAGGTTAAAGTTACCATTAAAATAGTAAAAGTTACCCTCAAACTGACGGTCTTACCATAATATTAACGTACACTTGCCTTACACAAGACTTATTGATTCCAATTATATAATTTATACAAGCAGTTTCCACTTTCTCGATCTGATATATCTAGTGAATCTCTCAATCACTACTAGAAAAAGGTCAATTTCCAACGGACACGAAAATCCATCGGAAAAAACGAAATTTCCGATGGATTTAAATTCCGTCGGAAATTTCTGACGAATTTAGATTTTTCGTCGGAAATTTCCAACGGAATTCAAATCTATCGAAAAACATTTAATTTTTGACGAATTTTCCGTCGAAAAATAAATAATTTCCAACGAAGTTAAAATTCTTAGGAAATTTCCGACGGAACTAAATTCCGTCGGAAATTTCGACGAAATTTTAATGACTTCCAATGGAATTCCCATATTTAAAATAAAAAAAAAACCCCAAAACCTTACATGAGCAGCCGCCCACTATTACCCTTCATTTCACTTTCTCCTCTCTCTCCTCGTCATTTCTCTTCTCTTTCTCCTTCCTCCGGCTTTCTCCTCGTAATTTCTCCTTTCTTCTCCTTCTTCTCGATTTGTTTCTTCTCCTCCTCCTTTTCATTACTCTCTCATCCTCCGTCCCCGTCGGACGTCGCTGCCCCAATCGCCACGGCTCTGCCCTCTATGCCATTTTCATATTTTAAGGTCAATTTTGACCAAGTTGGTCGAATTTGACCTTATTAACCAAGTTTGAGGTGAAATTCGAACCAATTTCAAATTTTGAGGTATGTTTTCGTGTTTTTAATTTTTTAGATTTGTATTTAAGTTTTTTTTAAAAAATAAAAAATAAAAATTGGGTGGTGGTCCGTCCTGGTTTTAGGAAGGTGGTGGTGGGTGTGTCTGGGTCGGTGTTAGGTTTAGGTGGGTTGTAGTGGATGGGTGTGGGTCGGTTTTATGTTTTAGGTGGGTTTTGGTGGGTGGATCTGGGTCGGTTTTAATTAGGTTTTAGGTGGGTTGTGGTGATGTGTCTGGTTGGTTTTAGGTTTTAGGTGGGTTTTGGTGGGTGGGAACATGTATTAGAAATAGGCTGTTTTCCGACGGAATTGTTCCGACGGATAACTTTTCCGTTGGAAATTTTGAATTTTCCAACGGATTTTTTGGCTGTCAGAAACTTCCGCCGGAAAATGTACTTTCCGACGGAAAATTCGTCAGAATCCTTCCGACGGATTTGTTTTCCCTCGTAAATGTACATATTCTGACGGAATATTCGTCGGAATCTTTCCGACGGAAAATGTATTCCGACGGAAAATTCCGTCGAAAGCTGTAAATACCGAGGGAAAATTTTCCGTCGGAAAACAAAACAAAACTGAAAAAAAATGCGAAGGAAGTTCAGCCCAAATTCAGAATACGAAGAGAGAGAAATAGGAAGAGAAAGCAGAAAGAGAAAGGGAAAGAGAAAGAGAAAGAGGAAGAGGAATAGGAAGAGGAAGAGAAAGAGGAAGAGGAAGGTCGGGCCACCACCGTCTTCCACCTCCGGTGAGTTTTTTTTTTTAATTTTTTTTTAATTTTTTTTGTTTTCGGTACTCTAACCCTCACCACCTCCGTTGCCGCAGCCACCACCGTCGTTGCTTCCACTAGAGGGAGTTAGCTACCGCCTTGAGGCCGCCGGTGGTAAGTCCTCTTGTTCGTTTCCTTTTTTTTTTAATTTTTTTACAAAAACCCGAAACCCTAAGCCACCTAATTCACACGCAGCCACCATCGAAGCCAGCTCCACCACCGCCAGCTCCACCACCGTTTCCCCCCGTCGCCGCGACTAAAACCACCACAATTCCGGTGGTAAGTCCTCCTAACTCCTCTTTTTTTCTATTTTTTTTTTATTTTATTTTTAAATTATTTTTTACTTAAATGAATCATTAGAAAACCCTTTTATGTTCTTTTTAGTTTTAACTAAACTAAACTAAACTAAAATTTGTGTAGGATTTGTGCAATGCATGTTAGTTTAATTTCATGTTTTTAATATAATGTATTTTAATTTAGTTTAGTTTTATGTAATGAATGTTAGTTTAGTTTAATATTATGATATGTTAATTTGGTTTGGTTTAGTTTAATATGATGTATGTTAGATTACTTTAATTTAATATAATGTAGTTTAATTTTGTTTAGTTTAATATAATGTAGCCTAGTTTAGTTTAGTTTTATATAATGTATGTTATATTGGTTTAACATTATGATATTTTAGTTTACTTTGGTTTTGTTTGCTTTGGTTTATTTGAATATTATGATGTTATGATATGTTAATGTTATTAATATAATGTATGTTAGTTTAGTGTATGTATTTTGTAGATGAATCATTTGTATAATCATTTTCCTAGATACCCGTTCAAGACATACACATTAGGAGTATGTCTTGAATAGTCCCCGGTTGGGACTGTCCTTGTACGCTTATTCTCACTTAGGTGGTGAATGTATGCCTTGTTATTGATTCTAGGGAAAATCCTGCCTTTTCATTTCTCTACAATGTTCTATGGGTACATATGTAGGTGTGTTTAATCGCCTACATCGTGTGCTTGGAGAACTGTAGGGAAATGCTTGCGAATTTTCCATAGAATTGAAAACCTGGCTTACATTCACTAGTGAGATTAAACGTACAAGGATGGGTTAGGTTAGGGTGATAAGGACCCTTTGGAAGCATTTCAAATCTCATTTGCATTCCATAACACTTTGATAGATAATGACTAGGAAATACGCTTTATGACTAATGTGATTATACATATGCGTGAGCTGTGTAGAAGTTGTAATCATGAAACGAACATAACGTAGCTAGATGTATGAAAGGAAGGTTGGGCAAAGTATTAATCCAGAGTTTGTGAAAGGGGTTGATGAATTCATTCAATACGTCAAAGATAATCCTGAGAGTAGTAACTTGAATGAAGTTAGGTGTCCATGTGCTAAATGTAAGAACAAATGACTTTGGGATCCAGAAACGGTTAAAATTCATCTGTTTCGCACGGGTTTATAACCTAATTACTATGAGTGGATGTGTCACGGGGAAGGGTTTCCGAGAGTTCCTGAACGACGGTCCATTGAATATCGTGAAATGGTTTTCGATGCTTTTGGTCATAATCAGGATCAAGGGCATTCCGAGCAGGCTAGTGTTTCATCAGAGGAGGAGCCTAATGCACAAGCTAAGAATTTTCTGGATTTGTTGAAGGCTTCTGAAAGGCCATTATATGAAGGGAGTTTGTTGTCTGTGTTAGAGATGGCCGCTAGAGTCACTAGTCTAAAGTGCGAGTATAATATGCCCCACAGATGAGTTGATGGGTTTGTTTCTTTGCTCAATGAAGCTATTCCTAACAACAACCATATGGCCGACACATTCTACGAGGTGAAGAAGATTGTGAAGGGGTTGGAACTGCCTCATGAAAGGATTCACGCATGCCCGAAAGGATGTATGTTGTTTTGGAAGGATGATGCTCAGCTGTCTACATGTAGGGCGTGTGGCAGCGACCGATACAAGTAGACTTCCAAGGGTACCCTAGTGCCTTTGAACGTTTTGTTTTATTTCCCGATCATACCCAGGTTGCAAAGGCTCTTTACAACCAAGAACATTTCAGAGGAAATGACATGACATTCGAAAAATCCTCGAGTTCAAGGCACAATGACACACCCTAGTGATAGTGAACTGATAAGTCGTGTTTTGTGTATATTATTTAGCTTGTTTTTAGTTGGTTTTATTAGCTTAGTCGAATGTTTTAGTCCATTTTGGTGTAATTGGTTTAGTTTCGATGATTCGATGCTTTTATGGGTAGTTTCGTTGTTTTTGATGTATTTCAGGATTAACGGAGTAATTGAGTGGAAATGAAGCAAAACGTTGATGAAATACTTGACAAATATGACACCTGTTCACTATTATGCTCATAACTTTTGATATACAAATGATAATGGAGTGATTCAAATTGCATTGGAAAGTAGACTTGAAGACCTTTCCAACGATATATTACACGCCTCAAACGGAGCTCCGGATATGAAGTTATGACTGATTTAAGATGAGTGATACGCGCAGCAGAGCAGGCACGTCCGTGCCCAGCAGTCAGGCACGTCCGTGTCTGGAAGACAGACTCTGCAGCGTTTTTATTTCTAGAGAGGCACGTCCGTGCCTATGGAGAGGCACGTCCGTGCCTCCTGGGATTCTTGTGCGCCAAGGCTTGGCCGATTTTCTTATCTTTTTGGGCTTGTATATATATTCTTTAGCTTTGTTTTTCTTGAGGGATTCATTAAGTTTATATTATTTTTCAATTCCTATTATTAAGAACTAGTTCTCTCTATATTTTTTTTTTCTTCTTTACTTTTGTAATTCAAGATTCAAGATTTACACTTTCCGCATTCAATTCAATTCAAGATTCGTATTTTCTTTTAATCTCTTGTTTCTTAATTATGTTTTCTTCAATTATTATTGTTATTGTTTATTTAATCATGTGTGAGTAGATTCTTTAATTCAAGATCTAGTGTAGCCCTATTATTATTGATGCATGAATTAAATCTTTAAATTTTTTAACAACTTTAACAATTGAATTGCTAAATTGATTGTGAATTATGCCAATGCTAGGTTAGACGTAACTATAGTATTGCGATTATTCCATTGTTTTTATCACAGCGAGATTTGGGTATAAACGGATTTGAGTAAATTAATTTAGGGTTTGATTCATAACACGAGAGTAGTTATGTTTGATAATTGGGAAGTGAGAGTAACGTGTTTAATGTCTTTAATATGCATGATACCATGAGAATAGGATTGATTGTATGTTAGGGAAGCCATTGATACTCGAGAGAGATCCTTGGTAATTATTAGGGTTTACTTTTCCCCGTTCGATTGAAATCGTATGTTAAGGGTAGAATTACAATTGCATCGATAATAATTGTGGTGAAACTAGATCTTGGATGTTTTAAGTACTTGATTTAATCATCTTATTTAGCTTATTTTCGAATTCTTCTCATACTTAGTTCCGTAGATAATTGATTATAATTGATTCTTGCTTAGTAGAAATTCGAGTCTATTTAATTATTTTTGAACCTTAGTCTCTTTGGATCCGACCCTTACTTGCCAGTCTACATTAGTATTGGTCTGTTAGGTTATTTTTAATAGGTACGCGACACGCCTACCAAATTTTGGCGCCGTTGCCGGGGACTAACGGTTTCATTAGATTATTTGTGATTCATTTTTGCTAGGCTTATTTCGTTGCTTCGGCTATTTTCTCTTGTGTTTTTGATACTCTTTCTCTAGTTTTCTTGTTGCATGCCCACACGAAGCTCAGGTTCGGAAGATCTAGTACCTTTTGATTCTGAAATCGAAGCAACCGCAAGAAGACGAGCAGGTAGAAGAAGAAGGAGAAATCAAACCAATAGAAACATGACGGACGCCACGAAATCCCTTTTGGAGTACGGTATTCGTGATACGACTACCAGACTTCTTTCTAGCATTGTCAGGCCACCTGTAACGGCTCAGCACTTCGAGCTTAAGCCACAATGCATTCAATATATCTCCAATGATTCATTCGCAGGCTTACCGCATGATTGTTCGGTAAGTCATATTGATAGTTTTCTGGAGAAATGTGATACAATGAAAATGAATGGTGTAACAGATGATGCTATTAGACTACGCCTTTTCCCCTTCTCATTACGGGATAGGGCAAAGGAGTGGTTGAGAGATGAAGGCGCTGGCTCGTTCGATACGTGGGACAAGCTAGTGAAGGCCTTCTTAGTGAAGTTTTTGGGACACGAGAAGACTGCTAGGTTGAGGAATGAGCTATCCACTTTTAAACAGTCAGATGATGAGTCTCTCTATGAGGCTTGGAGAAGGTTTAAGAGGCTACAGAGACAATGCCCTTATCATGGCATTCCAGAGTGGATATTAATTCAAACCTTCTATAATGGCATGACTCATGAGTTCAGAATCTATATTGATGCTGCGTCAGGAGGCTCTCTCTTGACAAAGAACCCCACTGAAGCAAAGTAACTTATAGAGAAGATGGCAGCCAATGATAACTATCATCCACGAGGCCGAAATAATGTGAAAAAAGGAGGTAAGCTTGAAGTAGATGCTTTGACTATGTTAGCCAGTTCTGTGCATGCACTAACAAGCAGGTTTGATAAGTTCCAAGCTGGAACTTCTACTAGCCCCCAGGAAGTTTGTCAAACGTGTAATGTGCAGGGCCATATCGCACCAAATTGCCCGCAGAACCCGAGTGAGATGTCCATCGAACAAGCCAATGCTCTCTACTCCTCAAATCCCAAAAATCCTTATGATCCCTACTCAAATTCCTATAATGAAGGTTGGAAACACCATCCAAACTTATCATACAAGAACACCCAAGCACAGCAAAATCCATCACCACCACCCCAACCCAACAACTACAACCAACCACTACCCGGTTTCCAACAAAGACCATCCATGAACCAACAACCAATGCAACCACAACCCCAAAAATCTAGCCTTGAAGTGATAATAGAGAGCTTCATTACCAAAACCAATAGTGCTATCCAACAACAAGGTAACTCCATCCAACAGTTGCAAGCCCATAGTAAGCTCATGGAAAGCCAAATAAGCCAACTTTCACAACAGGTGAGTCGCCTATCAACTCTTCAAGATCAAGCAAAGGTTCAAAAAGAACAATGCAATGCTGTTTTCTTGAGAAGAAATGAAGCCTTTCCAAGGCAAATTGTTGAGAAGATGTGCAGTGAGGAGTCTAGAAAAGACGAAAAGGGCAAAGATGTTCAAAGCTCCAAATATGTGGCTCCACCGGCTTATGAGGAACCGATGCCTTTCCCGCAGTGGTTGTCAAAAGTCGTGCTCGATAGACATTTTGGCAAATAATGTGAAGCCCTCAAGAAGGTACACGCTTCTACTCCCTTTTCTGATCTTTTAGTTCAAATGCCTCAATTTGCAATTTTGTAAAGAATATCAAAGATCAACAAGAGGATAAGGAAGTAGCACATAAGAAGGGCCCTACTCTCTTATATGATAACCTACCACCTAAGCTGCATGATCCCGGTAGTTTCACTATTCCCTGCACGATAAACGAGAAATTTTTCGATAGGGTTTTGTGCGATTTAGGTGCTAGTGTTAACTTAATGCCCTATTCATTATATGAGAGTTTAGGCTTGCAAGGACTTAGGCCTTCCCCTATTTCTCTTCAATTGGCTGATAGGACCTCTAGACTCCTTGAGGGTGTGGTTGAAGATGTATTACTTAAGGTTGGTGAACTTGTTTTTCCTGTTGATTTTGTTGTTATGGACATGAAAGAAGACCATAAGATCCCGATTATATTTGGTCGTCCATTCCTTGCCACAAGTTAAGCTTTAATAGATGTTCCTAAAGGACAAGTAACCATTAGGGCCCAGGATAAACAAGTCATGTTCAAGCTCTTTGATGAACATAATTCTATATTTGATGGTGGTACTTGCTTAAGAATCGATGCTACTAACCCTTTGTCTGATAAGTATGTATTTGATAGAAATTTTGTGAGAAGCAAGGACAAAATTCCACCCGATGATGTGCTTGGCCACATGAAGGTGAGTTCGGATATAAGGCAGGTAAACAATAAAATGAAGGAGTCACTTGGAGGCAATCATCCCCATGGGCAACATTGCGGAGTTCCCCCTTCGTGTGGTGATCCCGGTTGAGCCAATGAGTATCACTACGGTCAAGCTAAAGACCTTATAAACAAGCGCTAAATGGGAGGCAACCCATTCTCGATCCTTTTCTTTTCTTTTATTCTTTTTTTTTTATTTTTATTTTTGATTCTCGATGTGGTTATTAGTGTTCTAATTTTTATTATTTTCCTTATCTAAATAGGTGAAAAGAGCAAATTCTACGAAGATGGAGTCCACGAAATAAGGCACGTCCGTGCTTCCAACCTAGCACCGACCCGAGGTATGGCTTTCCCCTACCCCTCCTGATCAGTAGTTTGCTTTTTCCTTCCCCTTGTTCATTTACCACTGTTATATGCATACATTGAGGACAATGTATGATTTAGCTTGGGGGAGGATATGCTTTTCACCTTGTATATATTAGTTTTATTTCAGTTTTTGGGTAGTTTATTTCTTTCTAGTGTCGAATAATATGCCATTGCATGACTATGCTTCTATGATTATAATCACATATGTGTGCTTTTTGAAAGAAAAAAAAAGAGTTTTTGAAAACCCATTCATTGATGTGCTTGGATTGAGCTAGGTTGTGGCCAGGATGGTCTCCCCGCTTTACTTATGTGAATAGTTTGTGTACCCGGTGAGAGTCTTGAGCCTTATTTGACTAATTTCACTCTACCTCAGTCATGTTTCTTCTTGTGTGATTAGATTTTCCTTCATATAATCGAATTCTTGGTCTTGCTTTTTGACTATTTGAGACTTTTTGATGCATGTCGCGAAAAGATGATTGAAATTCCCTTGTAGAATTTAGAGCCTCCACATTCTAGGCCTTCATGTTTTTTTCTTTTTGTTTTTATTTATTTTTATTTTACATTCACCCGTAGGTTGAACCAATTTGAGCCATATTAACCCCTTCTTGATACCCTACATTTAAAGCTTTAGAGCTATTTTTCTAGGTTTATTTTGAAGGTGTTTTACATTTGTTAAGCCCTATGAGTGTGAATGATGTTGAAAAAAAAAAGAAGCGAAAAAAGAGAGTTTTCGAAAAAAAAGAGAAAGAAAACAAGAGAAAGAGGGGATATTAGAAAAGGGAAGAAAGGAAAGAAAAGAAAAGTGGCCTTAAAGGTTTTTGAAAAATTGAGAGTGCTTCCATTTGTTTTTATTTATTAATTCCCTCCTCTTTATGAAAAAAAAAATAATAAAAAAAAGGGAAGGAAAGAATAAAGGGCTATGTTTATAATTGTATGGAGTTGGAGGAAATAAGGTTGGATTGAACCCGACATTTAAATGTGTAGTGGGATTAGGATTTGTTTTATTTTGAGCACCACATTCCCAAACTACGTCGTCCAACCCTTATCTACCGAGCTTACCTAATATGGATTTCATGATTTTCGTGTTTGCATCAATCATTAAAAGTGGAGAAAGTCACATTGCAAGCCTAAAGAGGCCGATTCATGTGAAGTTGATGTACATTCTATGCTTAGGTTGAGTGGTATCATATTTCACCCCGTAAACACAAGAGCGTTTATTGTTTTTATTTTCACAACTAAAGTGAGAGCTATTCATGTTTGTGTGAGTTGGTATGGGGAGATGTGTGGTAAGATGTTTGTCAATTCCAAGTATATGAGGTTTATGGTGGTTTTTATGCATATTGACTCTTATTTTTGTTTTCCTCGTGATTTCAAATTGAAGGCACATTGTGATGGTTTGAGAAGTTTTCATTCTCCTCCCTTGTGAGTTATGGTCAAATGCTTGAGGACAAGCATTAGTTTAGCTTGGGGGAGTTTGATAAGTCGTGTTTTGTGTATATTATTTAGCTTGTTTTTAGTTGGTTTTATTAGCTTAGTCGAATGTTTTAGTCCATTTTGGTGTAATTTGGTTTAGTTTCGATGATTCGATGCTTTTATGGGTAGTTTCGTTGTTTTTGATGTATTTCAGGATTAACGGAGTAATTGAGTAGAAATGAAGCAAAACGTTGATGAAATACTTGACAAATATGACACCTGTTCACTATTATGATCATAACTTTTGATATACAAATGATATTGGAGTGATTCAAATTTCATTGGAAAGTAGACTTGAAGACCTTTCCAACGATATATTACACGCCTCAAACGAAGCTCCGGATATGAAGTTATGACTGATTTAAAATGAGTGATACGCGCAGCAGAGCAGGCACGTCCGTGCCTGGAAGACAGACTCTGCAGCGTTTTTATTTCTAGAGAGGCACGTCCGTGCCTATGGAGAGGCACGTCCGTGCCTCCTGGGATTCTTGTGCGCCAAGGCTTGGCCGATTTTCTTATCTTTTTGGGCTTGTATATATATTCTTTAGCTTTGTTTTTCTTGGGGGATTCATTAAGTTTATATTATTTTTCAATTCCTATTATTAAGAACTAGTTCTCTCTATTTTTTTTTTCTTCTTTACTTTTGTAATTCAAGATTCAAGATTTACACTTTCCGCCTTCAATTCAATTCAAGATTCGGTATTCAATTCAAGATTTACACTTTCCGCCTACCATGAACACTACAAGAAATAGGCCAATTTCCGACAGAAACGTTCTGACGGACATAAATTCCGTCGGAAATTTCAACATTTCCGACGGAATTTTGGTCCGTCAGAAAATTCCGTTGGAAAAGGTTAATTCCGTCGGAAAATCCCTCGGAAATTTTCCGACAAATTTTTTTCCGAGGGAAAAAAATCCGTCGGAAAAAATTAAAAAAAAATGGAATATCAGGGTTTTCCGACGGAAAATTCCGTCGGAAAATCCCTCGGAAATTTTCCGACGGATTTTTTTCCCTCGGAAAAAACAGCGGAAAAAAATAAAACAAAAAAAAATGGAATATCAGGGTCTTTCGACGGATATTAAATCCGTCGGAATGTAATATTATAAAACCGAAACCCTAACCTAGCCTTTCTTATTTTCTCTCTCCTCTCACCGCCTCTCTTCTTTTTCTCTCTCCTTCCCTCTTTCCTCTTCTCTGCTTCTCTCCTCTTCCTCTCCTCCTTCGTCCCTTCCTCCTCTCCTCCTTCTTTCTTTTTCCTTCTCCTTCTTAGTCCTTCCTCCTTCTCCTTCTTAGTCCTTCCTCCTCTCCTCCTTCTCCTTCTTCCTCTTCTTTTTCGGACTTCTCCTTCTTCCTCTTCCTTTTTTTTTAACATCAACATCAACAACAACAACAACAACGCAACGGAAACAACAACAACAACAACAACGACGGAAATTTTTGATTTGTAATTTTTGTAATTTTCTGATTTTTGATTTGTAATTTTTTGTAATTTTTGTAATTTTTGATTTTTGTAATTTTTGATTTTTTGTAATTTCTGATTTTTGTAATTTTTGTAATTTTTGATTTTTGTAATTTTTGATTTTGTAATTTTTGATTTTTTGTATCTTTTGGGTATGGGTGGGTTACGGTGGGTATGGGTGGGCTGGTGGGGGGGTTTCGCTAGGCGGGTATGGGTGGGTGGGTGGGTGGGTGTGGGCTGGTGGTGGAGGTGGGGGCTGGTGGTGGGTTTCGGTGGTCTGGGTTTGTGGGTTGGTGGGCTGTTACGGTTAGGGGTGGGGGTGGGTTTTTTTCGGTGGTGGGGGTGGGTGAGGGTGGTACGTTTGTTGAGTTTGGGTGGTATGTTGGGTGGGTTAGGGGGGTGGGTTAGTGGTGGGTCTGGTCAGAGGGTGGTTGGGTGGTGGGGTGGGTCTGGTCAGGTGGCTGGTTGGGTGGGTGGGGGCTTTTTTTTTTAATTTTTTTTTAATAAAATTTCCGACGGAATATTCCGTCGGAAAGCTAATCTTCCGACGGATTATTCCGTGGAAAAATCCGTCGGAAATTTCCGACGGACTTACTTTGAAATTCAAATTCTGCTACGACTTCCGTCGGAAAAGACCTTTTTTCAAACGAAAGGTTTTCCGACAGACATTTTTCGACGGAAAATTTCCGTCGGAAATAAGCTTAATTCTTGTAGTGGAAGCTTGGAAACACCTCGATAGTTGCTTTCCAAAGTTTGCCTTTGAGCCTCATAATGTTCGGCTTGGCTTGTGTACAGATGGTTTTGCTCTTCACGGCAAGTTTAGGGGACAATATTCTTGTTGGCCTGTCATTTTGACCCCTTACAACCTGCCTCCCTCAATGTGTATGAAAAGACAATTTATGTTTTTTTGTTGCTCGTTCCTGGTCCTAAAAATCCTAAGGGTAACTTGGATGTGTACATGCAACCGTTGATAGAGGAGTTGAAACAGTTATGGGAAGTTGGCAAGTATACATACAATATTTCGATGAAACAAAATTTCAATCTTCGAGCAGCCATCCTATGGACTGTTAGTGACTTCCCAGCATATGGTATGTTGTCCGGTTGGGCCACATCTGGTAAGAAAGCATGTCCGTATTGCATGGGAAAAAGCAAAACATTTTGGCTCGAACATGGTTGTAAGGTTTCTTGGTTTGATTGCCACCGCCAGTTCCTTTCGACAGATCACCCTTTTCGGAACAGTAGAACTGCATTCTGCAAAAACAAAGTCGAAAAGGGTGCACCTCCACACATTATGTCAGGAGAGGAGCTGTGGGAATGTGTGAAAGACCTTCCGAAGGCTACAGATGGGCCCGAGTCACTTCAAAGCCTCAAAAAAGAAAAGAAGGGGTGGTTCAAGCAAAGCATACTGTGGGAGCTTCCATATTGGAAGCATCTGCTTATTTGTCACAACTTAGATGTCATGCAC